AAAAAAAAAAAAAAAAAAAATCATACATGAATGGAGCAATTTTCTCCGTACAATTTATTTTTGTTTCGAAATAAAAAAGTTAAAATGTAGAAATTATGTATATTGGGCCAACTTTCATATTATCACGCTAAGAAGGCCCATTACCCAAGGCTAACGACGCAGTGGACCTTCTTCCTCCTCACAAAATTTTTTATGTCCGTTAGGCCCAATTGATGTTCCAAACAAAAACAAAAACACAGATTTTCCCTTTGATAATTGAGATCCCAATTGCTCTTTTATATACGGATTAATTGAATTTGATAAAAATGGGTTAGGCCCATTTCTTAAGACCCATGTTATGCTAACAGGGCTTGAGACCATTTTGACACTGCTTTATATGGTAAAGCTCAAATTTTCAATTAAATCTCTTTCTTGCCAAAATAAGATGGGATTGCAACCTTAATCGGGCCAAAAATGTTTGTTTGTTGCCTTAGATTGTGGCCCGAGATAAGGTGACAGCCCGCGATCAAAATCGGCTGTTTCCAAGATTATTCCATCCGGGCTTTCTCCCCAAGACTGCTGAAATCTACACAGACACACAGTAGTTTCTTTGTCAAATGACCTTTGCATCCCTTGAATGGTTGAAGAGGCACTTTATTTTATGATGAAATATTGAGGATGAAGAGGCCCATTGCGAGGCCCATTGTGAGGCACATTATTTTGGAGAAAATTACTCATTATGTCTTATTTTTTTACTTAAATTTCCCAAAAATAAAGGCAAATCCCAGTACGATGTAGCCCAAGTAGATTCATGTAAGGCCGATCGCATGGGGCCCATTAGTGTTCGGCCACGTTGTATCCAAGGAAAAAGAATGTTAAAACAAGAAAACATAAAAATATTCAGTATGTATTTCACTGTACTCGTGACTGTAGTATATAAATTTACAATAATTTGTTTTTTGATAGAAAGATGCAAAATTCAAAATTCAATAATTGCATTGCAATTATATGTAAGTTGATTTTTTTAAAAAAAAAAGAAAAAAATTGAGACTCAAGCTAGAAGTCGTACGACCGATTTATTTGTTGTATATAAAAGGTTGGTTCCACTTTAGAGCCACTTGTTGGCTTCGTAGCAAAACCGATACTATATATATGTGTAGTCATATATAGGTTAGGCGACCTAAATAGCTTATTTACTTCTCCTCTTTAGGGTAATAATCTTAGGCACTTTTGTAGTTGTTGAATTTTGGACACCCTAAATAGCTTAAGTCATTATCAATGTCTTTATTATGAGACTTCTTTTGAACAATTTAGCAATTATTTTCAATTTTTTTTTTTTCCTCTCTAAATGGGTTAAACATATATAATTGCATCGTTTTAGTGACCAATGTTCTTCTTTGGCAGGACACCAATAATTCAGCTTCTTCTCACTGTGCTTAAGATTCGAATTAGATTTGGTCAGTGTGCTTAATTTTTTTTTAAGAGACTCAAAGCATTGTGGGTGCTCTAAGGAGACCATTAATCGAACCCTACAAGTTCAATGGTTTATTAGCTAAAATAATTATAATTGAATAAATTAAAATATATTTATGGATAATTATAATCATATAATTGAATATTAAAATTGCTAATGTATGTCTAAAGAATCTAAATATTAATTTTTAATTATGTTAAAATACATTAAATTATATTGAAAGGAAATAAACAGAAAAATTAATAATAAACTTGTCTACCAGTGCAACCATTTTTTTTTCCATGTGGGATTTTTTTTTTTCTTTTTTTTTGTCTAGCTTCACAATGTTTTCTTTGTTTTTTTTATTGGAATTTGGCTAAATTACTATTTGGCTATAAACTGACACTATATTGAATTTTAATAGCTGATTTAACTTGAAGATTATATTAATGCTACAGTCTCGTTACGGAACTATTCCGTCGGGATTTATAACCGTTAGATCGTCATGTAACCGTCGTGAATAGTTGATCTAATGGTTACAAATACCGACGGAATGATTTCGTAACAGAACCGTAGAATCTCCTTATAAATAATACTACCTCCTATTTTTTAAATTTGTCGTTTTAAGAAGTTGCACATTAATTAAGAATATTTTTTTGTCAATAATAACCTTATTTAATGACAATAAAGATGAATATTTTGAGAAAAAGTGAAAAGTGAATATGAAAAGACGTAATGTATTTATTAGCTAAATGAAGGTAATAATAAAAAAATATAAACAAAAAATTCAAAATGACATTTATTTAGTTAATAGTTGATAAACCTGATTATTTTGTATAACTATTTTAAATAATGACTTTTCAATTTTAAATATTATCTATTTTCAAACGTATGCCAATTGAATCTCCCGATGGAGGCACGCATTACAATGTTATACACGTCTTAGCTTTGTCATAAGGACCACCAAATTAATATTTAATTACACAAATTACACAAGATCCAATCAACGTAACAGTATTTAATTAATTTTTCTCCTTTCATTGGAAAAAAATATTATTTTATTTTATTTCATTTTATTTTATTTTTTTGTTTTTCGAGACGAATTACATGAATTGCAAGCACCCTTGTGCAATAGATAAAAGAACTAGAGGCTACCTACCTAGTTATATGCGAAATGAAAGAGTCCCACTCCAACCTCATCGGCCCACCCTCCTCCGCCGCTGCCTCCCTCACGGCGCGGCCAAGCTCCGCCGCTCGCCGCCTCACCTCCGCCCCTTCCCCCGGCCCCATGAGCCTCCTTACCCCTTGCTCGACTTCTCGGGCCCCCACGATCTCGTCCCTCCGGGCCCACTCCCTAACCGTTATCCCGACTCCCAACACCTTTGTCACGAGCACCGCATTCCTCGGCTGGTCCGAGTGCATGGGCCACGCGCCCATCGGCACCCCCATCGAGATGCTCTCCATGCACGAGTTCCAACCGCAGTGGCTCACGAACCCTCCCACCGCCTCGTGGCCCAATATCTCCACCTGCGGGGCCCACTCGCGCACCACGAGCCCACGACCCTCGACCCTCCCCTCGAACCCTTCCGGAAGCGCGATGATGTCATCATTCTTCGTCATTACACCATCTCCCACGTCGGCGTCTCGTAGGACCCAAACGAACTTCTGCCCGCTATTCTCCAATCCGATGGCCAGCTCGTGAATTTGTTTCCGCGGAAAGGTGGTCGTGGTCCCGAACGAGACCAACACGACCGAGCCCGGCTCCAGCCCGTCTAGCCATTTCAGGCACCCGTGGCGCGGTCCGGAAGGGATTAGTCCCGTTCTCCCGGGGTTGTCGATTGGGTTGAACGGGCCGAGAGCCCACTGTTTCTTCCCCCCACTGATCTCGGCCCGTTCGATGAGCTCCATGAACGGACCCTCGATCGCTCGACACGTGTTGTAGACCCTGCCCGAGTTCAGCCTAATGAACTTGTGTTGGGTCTGGATGAACCTTCTGAACTCGGGGCTGAAGCAGCCATCAAGCGACGGGATGTCCTTTTCCTGGAGGAG